CATGAATTGAGAGGGAAATGGTTTCGGTGGGCTTTTGCAAGTCCAAAGGATTAAAGGATGCCGGTCTATTGACTGCAATATTAGTGCGAGACAATTTTACGGGCTTTCGGGACTGTGACGTGACGTTGATTGCATTTAAGCCTTCAGTAGTGTTATAATCGCAATGCTTACAAGCTATTGGAATACTTGGAAGACAACAATTTCTTGTACAAAACGGGGAATCAAAGCGGAGTGTACCTGATGACCAGTTGATTGATGGGTTATGACATGCCAGCCACCCGTAGCCTAGGATTATTGAGTACTGGTTTAGTTTGGTAACAAAAAGTTCTAAAATTTCCGAATGGTTCTTTATAGTTTGACGTAGCTTTACGGAGTGAGTCACCATGCCGGCAGATGAATTTCTTCCATCAACGCGAAGGATGCGAGGAGCGTGAAGAGGTGTGAGTTGAAGGGAATTTTGATGCACAAATGCAGCGTCAATAAAACCGAAATCATTTCCTCCAGAGTCAATAAATGCACAAGTTCTAATACTTCTTGATTCAGAAAGAATCTGACATTGTAAAACATGTGAATTTATTCTAGATTTTTGGTGAAATAGAGTTGATAGTATTAATGGGTTTATTGAGCTACTGGGTGGACCATAATCGTGACGATAATTATGGCCTAATCTTTTAACTCCTCTAATAAGCTATCATCGTTGAAATAACCCTCCCTTAACTCGGCCCGGCTGATTGCCTGTTCTCTAGTCTTATTCTTCCTATGAAGCACGCAGTTATGTGCTCTGTGTCCGGCTTTTCCACATCGCATGCAGAGTTGCAATCTGAATCTCCGTTCTCTTTCTTCGGGAGTCAACCGACCATCTTTCCCTAGGCAGGTTATTTCGGCTCTATCAAGAACCATAGGATCACCTCCTAGCGGACTCATGTTCGGACCGGTAGCCTCTACCACATGGACAGGACGGGGATTTATACTCCGGGGAGTCGAGTAATAGGTATGGGGCACCGGACGCTCTAGATCTAATCGGATCACACAATCTTTGCAAAGGTCTACAAACTCATCGAAAGAATACGTAGTATGGATTTCCTGGTGTTGCCCGATGCATGTTCGCATTTCATTGGAAACGCCTTTTCGCATGCGGGAGATCAGCATTTTATCGTCTGTAATACCGGATAAATTATGAAGCAGTTGAAATTCGGCAAGAAAGATACCAAAAGGTCCAGAGCCCTGCCTAAGTTGGTCGAGGGCGTCACGGGCGTCCTCTTCCTCATTAGGATTCCTGTAGGAGACATCCAAAACATTCCAAACTTTATCTAAAGATACGAAATCGAATAGGCCTTCTTTAGTCAAGTACCGGTCCAAAAATGCTATTGGCCCCGGGCCCAGATTTTGATAAATTAATGCTATCTGTGACTGTAGGGTCACATACCTATCGGAGTTCTGTGCGAGAGCTATTCGGATCTGGCGTTGGAAGGATGGATATAACTTCTTATCCTTACCTGAAAATTTCTCATCGATTTTGAACAATTCTGACCTCACCTGTCCCCCGGCTGAGTGCGCAGGGTCGGCAAGATTGGTGGACTGGACTTTAAGCTTTTCGTTTAGCTTTTCGGCCTCGGACAGGCGGTACTGGTCAATTACCGAAGACTTCAATAATTTGACATTTTCTTCCTGATTGGAAGAAAGATCACGCCTAAGCTGTTCAATAACTGCTCTGCTCTCAATAAGCTCGCGCCGTGAATTAGAAATAGAGAATTGATATTCTTCAACTCGTTTCTCTAAGGTTCGTCCCGTTGTGAAAACGCTGGTGATTAAGACTTCACCTGCATCGTCATCCAACGAGCGAAGGTGTTTCACAAAATCTGAGGCGGTTTCAAATTGGACGACGGAAGCCATTGAAAGACTGTGGGTGATTGTTGGTGCAACGTAATATGACGGGTAGGTCTCGTTGGAACGGAGTCACAAGCAGATCGGAGGTACGAGAGGACGAAGTACGGGTAAGAATATATTAATAAGACGTTGCACAATCTATCCTAGAGTGCAACTACTTAGATACTTATACTTCATTCCTGCGCTGGCATCAATCATATAGATAAGTAAGATAATTGTGCGTCATGTGACTTATAGATCAGGTCATAAGCGAGAACCATAGGTACCATGATAGTATCCTGCAATTGGTTAGTAATCCCCTATATGGCGATATCGAGGTTGCCCTCCCCTTAGACTTCTTCTTCAGACTCCAGAACTCCAGATTTCGATACCTTAGCCATGGAGACATCATTATTTGAGGCGATAATCGCCTCATCTGCCCTTTTTGCTGCAGCTCTTGCTTGGGATGCTTCTGCAAACCTCCCTTGCTCGATGTGGCGGATCCACGCGAGCTGCTCTTTATTCTCCGGGCCGGATTTATTAGGACTGCCACGGCAGTCCCGTGAGTCCTATCGGTGAGGTCCTCCAAAATTTCGACATCTGTTGGAGGCCTTGCAATCTTCTTCAGAGTGCATTGTTGAACCGCAATTCTGACAGGCTGGAGCGCGGGAGCAACCAGGAGTGGCGTGGAAGCAAAGGCAGCGGTAGCACTGCTTGATTCTTTGCCGAGGCTGTAGCTTAGCAGCCAAAGCAGACTCTTCAAAGAGGCGGAAGCCCGCACGAGGGGCGGAGTCCCGAGGGAAAAGAGTAAACCAGGTGCGTTATAGTGCACCGGGAAGGTACGTTCCATGTTATGGTTGGACTTGCTAGGGCTCTTGGAGGCAGACTGGTGTCAGGGAATGCTGCTTAGTCAGCTAGTTGGTCAAGTGAAAGGTGTCAACATCCTTAGTACATAACACCTTTATCACTCCACACCCTCAGTACTATATCCATACATTGTCCACATATCACATATTACCATCTGCATTATCTTACTCTCGTGACTATACTTTCTCAATATCCCAAAAACTGGTGGAAGAGTCCGGGATCACATGATAATGTATAACGGTTATGTAGACCGGACTAAGGTGGAGCCGCGGCCGAGCTTACCTCAAGCTCGTAGCTCCCAGCGCTTCCTTTCTCTTTGTCTTTTCTCCTACCTATGTCACAACGGTGGATCTGGTTTGCTGGATGCGTAACAGGAATAAGTCACAAGGGTAAGTAATCAGGATAGGTAACAAGGATATGACTGTGTTGTGCGATGAGAGAGTAAAAGATGTCTATGTACACGAGAAATAACCAAATACCCAAACACTTCACACTAACCTAATATGGTACTTAGTCTCGTGACAACCTACGTCTCGTAGCCTAATGTCCAAATACAACTTCTTAGAGACCCGTATCATCCTCGGGTCAGTCGTAACATTCCATATAGTCGCACATCGGCTGGCGCAAGCCCAGTTTTTCGGAGAATCTCGCTTGTGACCTTCCAGTCTATGACCGTTAACAGGCCGCGTTTTAGTATGATATTTACGGGCACATTTGGTATCCGTAAGGAGACTAGATTCGAAACCTCTTCAACTTTGAGGTTTATACTCTCCAGGATCGGATAGGCATCCAGCATCTTCTGTCTCAATTCTTCGTCGTTTGTCGCGATTGCGAAACCGGCCCTGATTCGGTATACAGAGTCAGCCATAAATAGATTGTAGTTCGTGCAGCCTTGGCAGTAGGATCTGCTTTTTGTCGCAGTCCGTGTCTGGCCACCGTTGCCCAGGTGCTTTTGACGGGCAGAGCTGGGACGGTGGGTATTGTTTGGCTCCTGGCTTCGGGAGCCCTTAGGAGAGGGTTCGTCGGGCGAGGAGGGAGAACGGGTGGCGTATTGGCCGGGCCCGTGGCCATGTATTGCGCAATGGCGGCGCGCAGGCAGACTCTCATTGAGTCTACGAATTGTCTATTTGACCCGTTGGTCAAAGGGAGGAGGGTGGCTTCGACACCAGAGATGGCGGCGGAGCAGAGGGCCAGATTTGCCGTTATTTCGGCGGTGCGTCGTTGTTCAGCTTCGACTATTGGTCGGAGCTCAAGGGGACACTCTGCTTTCGTGGCAGCTTTTGGCTGCGACGTTGATTTTGACGTTGCTATGTGTGCAGCGTTTTCCGACGGTTTTGACGCGGACGGGGGAGATTTTGACGATCCTCCAATCCCGTGGGGGACGGAGGCTCGTTGAGGAATTTCCTCAACAATTTCGACTGACCCGATCATGCCAGTATCGGACTTGTTGACGGTGGGAAAGGCCTTTGCCTTCCTTTTTGAAACGGCCTGTCCTATTTCCGCGCATTTCGAAGACTGGGCAAGGCCAGGTAGTTTTGTGGGAGCCCTCGGGCGGACTCTAAAGTTGTCCAACATTGCGTCGGGAAGCTTTTTTCGAACAGGTGGCATGATTAAAATGCCAGTGACTCGATCACAATGATTTGATAGAATGCGATGAGCGCGAGAGGGAGGGAGAGGGGGGAAAGGTGAAGATTCGAAAATCCGAATTTCAAAAAATTGGTTTTCTTGTGAGCTAGCATGACTTTAAATAATAAGAAAGAAAGAAAGAAAGAAAGAAAGAAAGAAAGAAAGAAAGAAAGAAAGAAAGAAAGAAAGAAAGAAAGAAAGAAAGAAAGAAAGAAAGAAAGAAAGAAAGAAAGAAAGAAAGAAAGAAAGAAAGAAAGAAAGAAAGAAAGAAAGAAAGAAAGAAAGAAAGAAAGAAAGAAAGAAAGAAAGAAAGAAAGAAAGAAAGAAAGAAAGAAAGAAATAATAGCCTCATCGCATATATCCACCATAATAATGCGTTATTCTAGCTAAACATGACCTATGAATTGCTATGACATGAGAACTTCTGTAGTTATGCTATGAGATATCGGTGGGGCCTTAGGCGTCTCGAAATTTCATATCCAAATATGGTTTAAGGAGATTCATGGGTGATGAGAATGCACAGCTTAGATCAAATCGTGATTGTTTAGTAATTCGCTTTAAAACGATAAAGGGTACGATTTATGTCAGAGACATATATTGATAGTTTCGGCTGAGGACTTAGAACTAAATAAACAAATATATTAGAGACATACGACACCTCTATTAAATCCTCTCAAACCGTTACTTATCCAACATTGTTCACCTTCCGAAAGGGAACTAGCTAGAATGACGCTTTCGGTGCATAATCTAGTTATTGTGTCAGTAGGCTCATGTGGAAATTTTACGAAATACACTGAAATTTAGTGGCATCAAGTATCTAGACGGGAGGACAGGGAGAAACAAACCCTTGGCTCAAAGCCCATCGTCTCGTTGTTCCCTTCACCCCCCCAAGTTCCAGAGCCGGAGTGACCCAATTCCCGTCGCGAAAAAAATATACGCTGGTAAGACTACCTTCTATTACTTGGCCACGATAATCGACGAGAATAACCTCTCTTAATTCTGTCATATCTAGGATACCTTTCTCTCGCCTAGCGTTGTCGTAGTCTTCACGATGTGTAGTTTTGTAAGTGTTATGCGGACCAGCAACAACATAAATTTGAGAAACATGAATTGTATATACTGGAGAGGATGGGTCAACTACTTTCTCGGATAGTTGTTTTATCATTCCCGATTTGACAATAGCACTATCGACCTTTGGATCCAATAGGCAAGGAGGATAGAGATTATCTAAGGAAACTGAAGAGGTTATGGCTTTTTCTATCGTGAGGTTCCCGTCGTGATCAAGAAGCACCTTGAGTCGTAGTGGCAACGAAGGTAAAGCATTAGTACTTATTTCAGTTGATATTTTTTCTCCAAGATTTGACAACAAAAAGGCTAAGCCTTCTTTTCCTTTAAGCTTATCGGCCGCATGGGTCCAGCCAAAGTGGTTGGCAGCTTCAACGAGACGATCACGATGGTGAATCGGCATATAAAAGCAATGGTACAGTGAGCTATTAATTAAACTGGGCGTAAGGAGAGCATTAGCTGGGCTATGTGCAAGGTTTGTATCATAGCGGAGAGTGGTGAAGACCTGGAAGTCAGGCTTTGCCATTCTTAATAAATATTGGTCAACTTATTGATTCCTTGCGTGCCCACGCTGATTCAAATGCGAATATTTAGATTTAAAATGGAGAAAATTGGAAAAAGAGGCTCTTCGGAGATCTTGTTTTAAACAAGGGAGTTGGGTGAAGTTCGGCCTTCAATCTTGATGACCAAAAATGGCTAAATACCGGCAGAGCCGAATTATTCAGCCTCCAGTGGTGCCGGTGTGATCGCTCAGTATGCTCTGCACATCTGGGATAGCCAAGAAGAATCGCATCCGAATCAAATTCGAAAGCACTCGCAAGCACATCTAAAATCGACGACTCATCGTCAAGTATTGGACCTACCACTCCCACGCGGGTCCTCTACCTCAATCTTCCTACACCACCTCGCCTCAACTACGGATAAAGGCGTTACTTCAATTGCAAGCGGGCGCTTGCCTCATCAAAAATTGGCCATCTTCAACATCAAAATTATGATGCTATGTATATCCGCAAGGAGGAAATTAAGTTATAGCATACAAATCTCGGGTCTTGCTCTAATGAGGCGCTACCCACTGAGGGAGGACAGGCAGTTGAGACGTGGAATGAGAGAGGGACGAGGTCACTACCGGGCATGGGATTTGTGTTTTTTGTGAGCTTTTCGTCTGGAAGGTTTGCCGGCGCCAAGACCAAGGTTTCGCATGATTATACAGAAGGACTTCTATCGTCGAGGAGTCGACGGCATTCCACGGTACCCCAGACAGCACAAGAGAAGTTGGGCTGAGCTACTCTATCACAAACACACATTGTCGACACTATACTGACGTTTGAGCACGACCTTCGGGAAAGGATTGGAAGGCAGAGGGTGAATTTCCCAAGGTACCCACAAGTCTGCAGCGTCCAGCTGGCGGGCCCCTTTGAACGCTTTAGAGGGATCACTATGTCTTTAGATTTAGTTCTGAAGTAGGTAGTAGGAGAGCCAAGCACCCAGTGGCTTTGGTAATTTTTCCCGGCTGCCATACGCCCACAAATGGACGCGTCTGAGCACCCGATGCGGCAAGATAACCTAAACTGCCTGGATCTTAACAAAAGCCATGCCAAACTATTCTCCCACGACCTTCCGATCCTGTATTGAAGCATTTTCCAAATTGGCCAGCGACTGTCGTAGCCCCACCCGCTACTTCTAATCTGGCGCCGGCTCAAGTTAGACTTAAGACTTCAAATCACTCCTATTGTCATGGCGAGACATTCTGGAACCAGAGTCTAAGCAGAATGCCTGAGGATAAAATTCACGGAACAGGTTTTTCGGCTCACACTCAACACTTGCACTTATATGGTGAGACTAGATAATGCGCCAACTGGAATTGATATGGTTGAGGTCACAGTTTGAGTCATGATGGGAAATTAAAACAGTCTTAGTTGAATTACGTTAGATAGTTATTTGTATTTAAGGAAGCTAGAGCTACAACAAAGTAGTTCTCCAGCTTCACAATCTTATAATATTATTACAGTATTCCTCTCGCAAACCCGCTTCCTTCTAGCCATAGTACTTCGTCGACTTCCCACCTCTATAGTATTCACCACTTGACCTTTTCATACCCTCGGCGAACGGCGATCTCGATCTACCATATAGCACGCCGTAACACCTATTGCACAATTGCCCTAAAGCAGACTTCAAGCCCCAATGGCCTTCAGGCCACTTTTCGCCTCACAGATCAAGCTCCTATCCTTAGAGCAAACTTAACTACAGTTAGGGTAGCTCTTATTCGCATTGCTCCTAGCCTCAAGGATGGTTTAGTCCCCATTTATCGCAGCTCAAGTGGACTTAATATCGCTTTTTTGTATAACGTATCTCTTAAACTTGCGTTGGATCACGCAGACTCCATAAAGGCGTCCTTTTCAGGATTATTTCTGCAAATAGAGAATTGTTTTGTGTGCTTTGTGGAAAGCACTCTAGGTACCATCTGGAACCCGTTATCCAACTTGGTCCCCAGCACGCTTGACGACATCAAGAGCATCGCCCAGGCACAGATAGGTGTTACCCTGTCCGTTACATACGGCGGTTATATTCTTTCCAAAGAAGGTGCCGCCTTTTAAATTTTTTAATAGCGCTCCTTCTCGACGCTAAATTTTTAACCCGAAAGCAATGTAATGTGATGCTTGCTTTGGGTTCCACCGATCCTTTTGCTGCCGCAATCAAGCTTTGTACGCTCACTGCGACACACTCTACCACCACGGAAAATGCTGCAACCTCCGCTGGTACATTAACTATCTAGGGCCACACTCTGTAGACGATCATGACTGCCCTATTCGCCCCCGCCCTTTCAAGAGCAAACTTATTAATCCTTTAGAAAAGCCGATCACGGAACTACGCTCACGTAACCGTAATAATCTTCGAACGACACGCCGCTCAGAGGCTGCTGCCGTTACCGCCACCTCTACTCCTTCAGCTATGTTCAGTACGCGAAATAATAACGCTAAAGTCTCTAAAATTATATCTAGGCCCAGGTCTTCTGTCAGCTAAAATATGTTTGCCTCTCTCGCACCTGCTTTGGCTGGATCTATGAAAATAGAATCAGCCGAGCCAATCATCTATATCGGCCCCTACCCTAACCTTTATGAATAATAGAGCTTACTTCAAGTGCGCCCCACCTACCTCTCCTTCGTTTCCTCCAAGTAAACATTGGGAGTTACTCCCAGCCTATAGGCGGAATGGACCTACATGTCCTTACATAGTCATAGACTTCACAGGACAATAAACAAATACACATACACCCACACAATTTTTTTGAAATTCGGATTTTCGAATCTTCACCTTTCCCCCCTCTCCCTCCCTCTCGCGCTCATCGCATTCTATCAAATCATTGTGATCGAGTCACTGGCATTTTAATCATGCCACCTGTTCGAAAAAAGCTTCCCGACGCAATGTTGGACAACTTTAGAGTCCGCCCGAGGGCTCCCACAAAACTACCTGGCCTTGCCCAGTCTTCGAAATGCGCGGAAATAGGACAGGCCGTTTCAAAAAGGAAGGCAAAAGCCTTTCCCACCGTCAACAAGTCCGATACTGGCATGATCGGGTCAGTCGAAATTGTTGAGGAAATTCCTCAACGAGCCTCCGTCCCCCACGGGATTGGAGGATCGTCAAAATCTCCCCCGTCCGCGTCAAAACCGTCGGAAAACGCTGCACACATAGCAACGTCAAAATCAACGTCGCAGCCAAAAGCTGCCACGAAAGCAGAGTGTCCCCTTGAGCTCCGACCAATAGTCGAAGCTGAACAACGACGCACCGCCGAAATAACGGCAAATCTGGCCCTCTGCTCCGCCGCCATCTCTGGTGTCGAAGCCACCCTCCTCCCTTTGACCAACGGGTCAAATAGACAATTCGTAGACTCAATGAGAGTCTGCCTGCGCGCCGCCATTGCGCAATACATGGCCACGGGCCCGGCCAATACGCCACCCGTTCTCCCTCCTCGCCCGACGAACCCTCTCCTAAGGGCTCCCGAAGCCAGGAGCCAAACAATACCCACCGTCCCAGCTCTGCCCGTCAAAAGCACCTGGGCAACGGTGGCCAGACACGGACTGCGACAAAAAGCAGACCCTACTGCCAAGGCTATGCTGCGACCTGCGGCCAAAGCCCTACAAAAAGAAACCCCAAAGGCGAAAGTCGACAAGCGACTGTTCCTTCGTCTTGAAAAGGACCACCCGTGGCGAAAACTGTCCACAAGCAGCGTGAGATCTAAGTTGGAGTATACATTGGGCTACTTTAACCAAGAAATAACCTCACTCTACTGAGTGAGAACGGGCTTTGCTATGCTAGCACGGAACGAAAAAACACGACAAGAAACTTTAGATGGCTCTTTGAAGCTGGCGAGTCAAAACGTCAAACTCGAGGCATCTTCGGATCTCGTCGCCTTACAGATACCGAACGTAACTGTAAGTATAGTTACAGTGTGCGGCCCCAGAGCGGTCGATGCTAGGTGTGTCTCTACCAAGATTATCGGTACGACCGGCGCGCTTCTAATCCAGGTCCGACCTCATGGGACATGTCGACCTGGGGCACCGTATCAAAACTGGCATGCCCTTATCACGCGGGACAACGCCCCTTGTGCGGGCTTCCGCCTCTTCGACGAGTCTGGTAAGGCTACCACTCACAAGCCTCGTCGACAAATTGAATAGTGTAAACGCTGTTTGGGCTTCCACGCCACCCGTGGTTGCTCCCGCGCTCCAGCTTGCTGGAACTGCGGATCAAATATGCACTCGGAAGCCAAGTAAAAGGCCCTCAAAAAGTGTCGCAACTGTGTGGCACCCCACCGATCGGATTCTGTCATGTAGAGACATGATTCATTCATGAGTTGATATTGTTCAGACGATCATGACTATATCACAACGTCATGTACAGACACGATTCATTGTTTGTACCTGTTGTATCAACCATGACTATGTCTCAGTGATAGGAGAAACATCATTGACTAGTTACTAGAAACCTAGTCAATGTCCTAAACACATAACTGAGACTAGGAGAATTCTACTGAGTAAGTAATTATTCTGATGAATCTAGATCTGGAGGAACATAATCTGGTTGCTTGGCTCGAGGCATATGAACCTGAGCATATCATGTATAATAAACAACATAGAAATCTATCTCAATCACAATCACAATCATCATCTTAATTCATGTGACCATCAATAGCTGCAAAGGAAAGTTTAACCATTTCCTTATAGATTCTCGGGACTGCAAAGTCAGACCCAGAAAATCTGGACCGGTGACCAAAGAGCAGCTCGCGTGGATTCGCCACCTCGGGCAAGGGGAATTCTCAAAGGTGGCTCGAGCTAGGGCCGCAGTCAAAAGGGCCGAAGAGGCGATCGTCGCCGCGGCGAAGGATGTCGCAATGGCCGAGGCAACAGGTTTCGGAGTGCTGGGATCTAGAGAAGAAACCTGAGGGAACAGCAACCTCGACGATGTCCCTCCTGGGGCATCTACAAACTATTAGCAGGATACCGGCTGGATAAAAGGTGCCTGCTAACTCAT